GGGTTTAATGAACAAACTCATATGCAGTCTTTTACAGCCTCACTGTTTAAACTGCAGACGGAGAAGCATTTCATTCAAATTTTGTCACCTGTAGATAAGCCATGCCTGTTTCAGCTGATGAAACTCTGGGGAGCCTGTCTGTGAGAGGTACAGGTCTAACACCAGCTGGAACTGAAGGATTGCAAGGTTTGTACGAGATGCTATTTATTGCAGTTAAAGACTGTGATCAGTGTCTACTTTAGTTTCTTTCTAAAAATGTTTCCACTCACAAAATTAAGTTCAGCTACCATTCAAAATCTGGATTAAATTCTGACAGGTACTGTTACCCATTCTGTATTCAAGTTGTTGCTGTGAGATGCTAAAAACTGGCAATCTCATTGAGCTGTAACGTTCATCCTTCCAGAAGAGAAGAGAACTTTTTTGCTGAATTGAGGAAAAGGCCAGATCCATTTAATGAAAAGGGAACCAAAAGTACTGTGCTATTCTCATATGTTAGTCAGCTGCTAATGGAATGGAACTTCTGAGCTTAGTTTTGCATCTGAGTCCATTTTCAGAATTATGAGTTAATCCTTTCAAGCTTCCAGAGAGTATGTTCACTTTGAGACAGATTAGAAAGCATCTCTATGGTAATGGTCATCTTTTTTTTCAGTAGTATGTTTGACCATACCTGGTTACTTGCTCAGTTGTTGCATTTGCATTGTCTAGTAGGTAATCAGTTTGCTGTATCATTTGGACTATTTGTTTTTCAGTCTGGAAGAGGGAGGAAAAGGGAAGTGATTAACCTGATACAAGTGTAAAATAACAAATTACTTGAAAATTTTCATTAACATTTTTTCAGTATTTCAAAGGGAGTTAGATTTGAATTATGTGTTGTTGAATGTATTGAAGATAATTTAAAGTTGCTTTGGTTTGGGTAGAATCATCAGCTACACAGAATGTCAAAGCTCGACAAGCCTTATGGAGGATCAGTCGAGAGGAACTGGAAGACAGATTCCTTCGTATCCGTGATGACTATGTCCTGCTCAAGCAGCATGCAAATAAGCAAGAGGAGAAAATTAAGAGGTGTGGAGTTTAATATGTTTAACTCTCAGTAACTTTTTTGCCCCTTAAAGCATTATCAGCAGATTAACAGTCATGTTGATTTCTCTCAAATTGCTTTTTAATGCAGTAGCAAAAATCACTCATTGGAATTCATTTTTGTATTGTTTTCTGGTTGTCTCTGTATGTGAGGTGCTTTTTGCAGTGGACCCTGTTCAGTCTCCATGTACAGAGGCACAGCACCACCTCCCACTGTGGAATTGGTACCTTGGGTTCATGGCTATGCGAGCGGAGTACAAACGTAACGGGGATTCTGGGAATGGAAGAAGCTGTAGAAGCCTAATGATTCATCCAGAGTTTCATTCTAGAATCAAAATGGCCTATACAGAGAGATTCTTCCCCTTTTTTGGTCCCTGTTTGTCCTTCAAGAAGTTGACTAGCACCTAACCTTTTATCACTGAGTTAGCACTGAAGTGTCTTTACAATCAGCTCTCCTTTATTCAGTATGGGTAACTTCAGTGAAGAAGTCCCAAGCAGCATGTGGAGCACAGTGTGTGCCCAGACACACACACTTGTATAAGCAACTTTAGGCTTATTATTGAACTTAGTGCTGTGCTGACAGACTGATCTGGACTCTGCAGAACTGCTCATGGTATTACTATATTTCAGGAGGGCTAATTAATCCCAAAACACTGTGAATGTGTGTTCACATTGTGCTGTCCTTAAGCTGATAGTCAAGTGGCATCTGAGCTAGCTTCTGGTGGGAAGGGCAGCGGAAAACACAGCCTGTGCCGATGGGACCATTCCATACTTAAACAAAGTGCAAAACATTCTTTGCTTTTGACTCGGTCTTCAGTGAGCCAGGATCCAACTGACAAGCATGACATGCTCTCCGTTTTTTTTGCCAGGTTGTGGTCAAATACAAGATGGTGGTACATATGAATTGTTTCCATATTCCAAATGGCATTTCTTGCAGGAAATACCATTCATCATCCTCTTAGGTGAATGCACTCATTGTCCACTTAGGTAAAATTACACAGAATGTCCAAATTACCTGAATTAGTATGTTAAGGCACAGCAAATAAAAAATACAGTGTTTGTCTAGATTCCTAGACAAAGTCTTAACTCCTCAAGCTAAATTTCTTTCCCAGCATCCCTCATGCCAAAACCCTTGTAACTAAAAGTTTAGAATTAATTTCCAGTAGAAGTACATTGAAAAAAACCAAAAAACCTGCTTGCAGACAAGTAACATTCTGTGACATCCTTAAATTATTGCCGATTTATTTTTTTGTTTCACTTTTGTTCTTTAAAATAAAAGCTTCTGTCCGCAAGTATCAAAAAGTATAACAAGCCACTTTAAACAAATGAAGTGTGTCCTTATTATCATTTTTCTTTCTGCACCTTTGAAAATAGGTTCCCTGTAAACTAGATATAGGTCTTGTAGATGTGTGGCCACTTTTGTAGTCTTGTACAGCAGAGCAGAGTAATAGGAGGTAATGTGTTAAAAATTAAGCAGCCTGAAGAGTAAACATGTGTCCTCCCATTACTAACCTTAAATGGTAAGCCATAGGAAGCTGTTATTTGTCAGTGCTGTGGAGCAGATTGCTGCACAGTGGTTTCAGTTACCTTCGAAGAGTTCTTCACAGGCAGTAGTAGTTATATCAAAGCCTGAATTTTATTATTCAGGTTCTGTGCTAATCTCTTCACAGTGATTATGTTCCTTTCAACAGAATACTTTTTATGCTGACTTTTCACATTCTTTATCTGTTTTGGTTGCTTTCTCCAGAATGACCACCAAGTTAATACGGCTTGTTAATGATAAAAAGAAGGCTGAAAAGGCTGATGGAGGGCCCAGGCGGTTGGGTCAGGCTGTGGAGCTGGAAGAAATGATCGAGCACTTGCAGGAGAGAGTTCATGAACTTGAGAAACAGAACGAGAGCCTCCGCAACAAACTCATTTCAACTAAACAGCAGCTCCAGATCCAAGGCCACAGGCCTTGTCCGTACAGCTATGTTCAGCCTCGTGTCAACACTGGCCTGAGGAAAGCGAGCGAGGCTGCTGCCGTGCTGGAGCACACAAAGAAAGGTATCATTCACATTCATTGGGAACAGCAACCTCTTAGGTGGTCCTGTGAAACCTGAAGCCTGAGTCTCAGAACAGTTTCAGGGCAGGTCAGAAAATATGCAAAGCAGTTATCTAAAAATAAGATGCCTGGAAGAATTCAAGTTAGCTTAGCTCTCTCTAAGGTATGGAGAGATAAGAAAACTCCACAACTAAGAAATATATCTTACTGTTTGTGTTTGGCTGATTTAGAAATGCCAGGGAAAGCTGATCCAAAAGGTCTACTTAGGTGTGCTTGTTCACTAAATACTTGTTGGTTTCTCATGACTTTTATTGAGTGTGTGCTGGTTTGAAAGCAAACTGGTGAGAGACTCTCGAGTCAGAAGTACAGTTTAATATGAAAACCAAACCAAAACAACAAAAAATGCAACAGTACAAAAAAACCCCAGAAAAACCACTGACAGAGTCAGAAAGTAACCTGACCCCCTGTCAGTCAGGGCGTTGACAGCAGTGCCATTGAATGGTGGCTGCATCCTCCTGCAGTGATGGGTTTGTTGGAGCAGTGGTCCTGCAGATCCGGCTCTCTCCTGAAGGTCCAGCAGCAGCTCTTGTCCTCTGGGAATCCAGCAGATAAAAAAGGGTTTCTGTGCTGGTCCAAGCCCCAGCTTATATCCCTGTGAGCATGTTTGGCTCCCCACCCCTGGGGTGAGGCATCTCCCAATGGGCCAGTGTAATTCTGTGGGTCACACATGGGTCCCTGACAGCCTGTTAAACAGAGACAGCCCCTGGGGAAGCCAGCAGGGACCAGGCTGTAATGATCACTGCCCCACCTGCTTTAACAGCTTGTGGAGACAGCAACAGAATACATCCCATTGGCTACCCCCACACTGCAACCCAGGACAGAGTGCAGCCATCTAAGATATACCTTGATTTGAACAAAAGTGAATAAAAAATATATACTCTAGGCATATATATACACATACATATGTATATATGTATATACATGTATATATTTATATATATGTCACAATTACCAATACCTTAACATAATAGTTAAAGATCAGCATTCAAAATAGATCAAGTTAACTCAGCACAAATGCAAAGTATGTAAATTTTTTTCAGGCATTTTAGGAAACTGCTGGTATCATTGCACCTGGGACCTAAATGACTCAGTTTTGGGGACTGAGGCTTGGCAGCCTTAATGCTGTGTTTGAAATATAATACGTAGTTTCGTCCCACCTTGAAACTTCCTTAATTTCTTCTTGCTGAAGAAGGAAGGAAAAATTGGAGAAACCATTGCTTTTGCTCCTGAAGTCACAGTTCTTTCTTAATTAATTTCTCACTTTTCTTCTCCACCTGGGATTTAGTATGCTTCTAAAGAACTGGCAATTATTTGCACTGCTACTAACAATGATCCTATGTTCCTGTTTAATACTATTGATATTGTTCCTCTTTGAAGACAGATCTCTGTTCTCTGTCTTTGAAGGTAAAATCTTCTATAAAGCCCTTTCCAGAACATGTTTTTAACACTTCTCTGTCACTGTGCTGTATCACCTGCTGTCCAAATTCTAGCAGCTTTGTTGTAGGTACTGATTCCATGTGAATTTGCTGTAAAAATACTTATAATGGCATGTCCATAGAAGTTGTGTTTGTATTACATAGAGACTGTTGGTAAGTTAAATGCTTTTTCATTCACTGTGACAAAAATTTGTCTTTGCTTTGTTTCCAGGAATGAGATTTCAGAACTTAGAAGTGAGATCATCTGACCTTGTGCTCCCAAAATATGGGCAGGATCTGGTCGAGGATTCAAGGGCTGAAATAAGAAATTTGTATGATTTTATTACTTACTTTTTTGTCATTATAGGTCTTAAAACGTATGGTTCTCTTGAAGAAAAGAAAAATTTTTTTTCAGAAGTTTTCACTTCAGAAAACAAAGTGAAGTGGTTGGATCTGATACAATAACACTGTTAACAACACATATATTTTACGATAAGGATCCTAAGGGATGTAAAATGTAAGGCTCAGGGATTTAGAATGTAAAATGTAGGTACATGAAGAGGTGGCTGGAAGTTAAAATTGATCTTCAATGGTGAGCCTTTCTTTTGGCTAGGATGCAATTTTGCTTAGCTGGCAAAAAGCAGAAGGGACCTTGGCTGCAAGTTTTACTAACCTAACTCCCAAAATGTATGGGGATAACCCACGCAAGTGGTGGCTGTTTTGAATGTGTTTTGCTGATGGATTTAAGCTTCATTTCTAGAGGCAGACAGATTTTATGGGTAAGTTGGCAAAAAGCACAGTATGGCATAGTTATGTAAAATGATTTTCATTTATTTTTGTATTCTGAAAGTTGGTTTGTTATCTAACTGCACATTTTAACTGCAGTTGCAGCTCAGGAAACCCTTATAGCATCTTTGATTCAGAGATTACATGAGAGCTGAGAGGTGTTACATAGGCTGGAGAAAAGGCAGTTCACATCTGATTTAAAGATACTGAGGTCTAATTAGAACGTTTTTTATTCTCTATATGTGTAGAAATCTGGTTTTCTAAAAGGCACCCTTAGTATGTTTGTTTATTTCCATAGTAATTTACCTATAGCAGATTTACTACAATATCTGTAAATGCTGCATTTTCAATAGATGGCTAAAACCAGGACAGTATTAAAATATATCAATTAATGGGCAGTCATGCATTTTGTGCTTGACGTTTTGTAAACACAAAGATTTACTGGGACCACAGGTAATGATTGTATAGAAATATTCTTATAAATTATTTTTTAAATTGCATTTGCTGGATAAATTCCACTAAGACATATCATTTGATTATTTTTTTATGTGTATAAATTTCTCTATCTCAGAATAAAAGCTTAAAAAGTTACTTTTACTGCTCCATCCATCAAAAATCTCAGAATTTTTTGATAGCTAGTAATGGTGTATTGCTTTTTGGAAAACTGTTGGTACTGATGGATTAGGAAGATGCTTCTCATATAGAGTATAAGAAACCATGGACAGTGTTTTCAGCTGGGTTCTGCTAATCATTCAGTCCACATAAACATTTTATTTTGAGAGTTTGTGTGGTGTGTTCATAGTAGCTTAAACTCTTGAGCCTCTGTTGTGATGCATGTCATTAAGAAATACAAATTTTGCTGAACACTTAAATTTTTGGCTCTCTTGAGTGTTCATTTAAATTTTTTTTCTTTCATTAAATACTTACCTGGTTTTGGAATGTAAGATGCTTGTACTTTCAGGGAGGCTGTGATTGAGTCCCAAAGGAAACACATTGAGGAGCTAGAACATGCCAGAGAGACTCTTGTGAGTCAACTAGGAAGGAAAGAAAAGGAGATTGAAGAATCCATCCTACAGCTGAGAGAGCAGGACACAGCAAACCAAAGGTATTGTGGAGAATGGAAGTCTCCATGGGGGAAGCTTTAGAACAGCTATGTCATAATGTTTATATAGAGCTGTGAAAATTACTACTTCTGAGAAGGACTATGTGCTTTCTTCATTTCTTTCCCTTTGGTGAAAGGAAGTCATACAATGTTTTGCCAAATAGCCATGGATGATTCTAAGCAAGGAGATAGTTTTGATAATAAGTTATGACATATTTTCATAAATAAACAAAGATGCTTGTAATTACCATTTTAGATAATTCATTTCCAGCTGATAGAGATTGACTTGAAGTCCAAGTCAATCACATTTTAATCATCTTGGGGGTGATGGTTGATGACAAACAGAACATGAGCTGCAGTGTACACTTGCAGCCCAGAAGGCCAACCAAATTCTGGGCTGCATCCAAAGGACTGTGGCAGCAGGTGAAAGGAGATGTTTTGCCCCCTCTACTCTGCTCTCATGAGACCCACCTGGAATACTGCCCACAGTTCTGGTGTCCTCAGCATCAGAAGGACATGGAACTGTTGGAGCAAGGCCAGAGGAGGCCACAAAGCTGATCAGAGGTCTGGAGCACCTTCACTATGAGGACAGGCTGGGAGAGTTGGGGCTGTTGAGCCTGGACAAGAGAAGGTTGTGTGGAGACCTCAGAGTACCTTCCAGGATCTGAAGGGGCTCCGGGGAAGCTGGAGGGGGACTCTTGGTTAGAAACTGCAGGACAAGGAGCAATGGGGGTAAATTGGAAAAGGGAAATTTAGGTTAGATCTTAGGCAGATGTTTTTGCTGTGAGGGTGGTGGGACACAGGCCCAGGTTGCCCAGGGAGGCTGTGGCTGCCCCAGCCCTGGCAGTGTTCACAGCCAGGTTGGATGAGCCTTGAGCAACCTGCTCTGGTGGGAGGTGTCCCTGCCCAGGGGGTTGGGGCTGGATGGTCTTTAAGCTCCATTCGAACCCCTTAACATACTATGAATCTATTAGAGAATTTTAGATGTCGATTAATAATACGAGATTTAATGTTCACTGATACTCATTAATAATTTTTAGTCCACAAAGAGTGGAAAAATACTGTCCTAAGAGTAGATTAGCAAATTTTTGAAGGCATATGATACATATGTGGAACAGACAAACATGCTTGTGAAATGTGTTCCACAGTAAAGCCTCTATTAGTTTTCTTTCTCTTCTTCCACCTTTGCAAAAATACATGGAAAATTACATAGCTTTGCCTATATCTTTCCCCTTTTGACAGTTGCAGTTTCAGACTGTTATCTGTTATTAAGGATCTAATGTGGCACAGTCCTGATTCCTCATTCATCCTGTTTCAAGAGCACTTCCACATAGATGAGAAATACTTGGTCAGTTCTTTAAATGCCTTTCAAGGGAGGGACCTGCTCACCATGTGTGGCATTCC